CCCATCGATTCATCGTCTCTGGTGCAACATACCAGTACTCCCTCTATCTAAGAAAAGCCGAGTGAGAGTTAAAATGTAATGAATTTCCATAGAAAAGTAATGATGATTATAATGCATAAATCTTAGCCACTCAAAAATATCAGATATCGATAGCCAGGGAACAGGGTACCGTAAATGTTTAAATAAGCGCTGCTCTCGAAAAAGCACCGCTCCAAACCTGACTTTTTTAGCTACAGGGTAAGCGCCGCTCTCGAATAAGCGCTGCAGTGCTTATTCAAGAGTATACAGTATTACCCTGTGTATAATGAAACACTTTGAGAAACAGTGTTTCAAATACAATGTATACCATGTTAAAATGAATAAATAACACAATAAAGACACAAGCATTTCTTTGTAAACTTTGTTTACGATGACGTAGGACTTATGATAGGCCCACTGAACTATGGGAATACGTGAGATAGGTAACATGGGAACGGGCATGGAAAGCCTCCAAAAATGATATAAGCACCGCATTGCTTATTCGAGCATTTACGGTAGTTAGCATTGATCCTGTACATCTTGTATTATGAGGGAATAAGCTGAAAAAAATCACTTGGTGCTCACCAAGTTTTATTTATGTTTTAGTTTAGCTGAATTGTACGTGGCACTGTTTGGGACCATTGCTATTTATGTCTTCAAATAGGCATTCTGTTGTTACAGATATAATTATGTACCACAGAATTATTAATGTGTTCAAAACTTTTCTGTGTTTACAGAAATAATTATGTACCACAGAATTATTACTGTAAAATTATTATGTGTACAGAAATAATGCTTATTTAAAGACATAAATAGCAATGTCCCAAACGGTGCCCAGTAAATTGAAGTTTGTCAACTATTTACAGTTGGCCCTCATCCAAAAAACAACAAATCAGGCACCACTAATCTAGGTGAAATGTTAAACATGTGCTTGTGCGTGAATTTTTCTTAAACTTGCTTTCTACTTCAAGTAGGTAGTCAAAGACAACCACTTGTTTCTGCTGATCTCAGAAGAGTTAAGAACTTTATTCTTATTATCTGTGTTGCTCCCAGGGGTACACCAGGATTTCCCAACCAGGTGGGGGGGGGGGGAGGAAGGACCTACTACGTAAAAAATACATATAATATTTTTTTCTCCCCAAAGAATTGTGCTTTTTCTCCCCGATGGGGGCCAGCTCTCCCCGACGGGGGCCCCTGGACACCCTGCTGGCGCCTCCCCTGATTGCTCCGCCTCACCTAGGAGTATAAATGAGTACCTTGAGAAGGCTTGAGTGCATGTGATCAGTGATATAAATTTCATGCAGCAAACTGTAATAATGTGGATAAGCACTTTGAGACTTGTGTGTATGTGTAGAGCACTATATAAAAACGTGTATTATTATTATTTTGTCATTACTTCTATAATTATTATATTTTCAGGTCATGAGAGCTTCATCAAGCACTGATCAATTGTCTCCCAAGTTGTCAACTGTGAATTACTCTCAATGATTATCTATACAAATATGGTTGAGATATAAAAATAGCTCCCTCCTTAGATTACATTCTAGGTTGAAGACAATGGAATCATCTATGGTGGTCTATAAATATGTCACACATTGGAAATTACTATACACAAAAATATAAATGGCTATCTGAAAATATGATAGTGTTAAAATTACATACTATGATAGCACCTGACTGAAAATAAACAACAGAATTTACACTGTATAATGTACTGTATTGGGAATGATTGATATTGTATAAGAATTTCATACACAGCACTGTAGTAAAATTTTCTGAAATTTATGGATGTGCAAAGTTAGACATGTGGATGAGTATGATCTAACATTATGAGTTTTTAGTAAGAAAGTGGCTTAAATTTTAGAGAAATAGTATGGAGTTCAGTTTGTGAACCTTACCTGTATTTCATTTTGTTAGACAAGACTTTTTTTTATACATTTTTAAATGCAAACTTATTTTTTTAAAGATTGTCAAAGAAGGCCGGAAAGAAAAAAAAAATCTTGCTTTCCTATTTATCAAACAGTTTTGCCAAAAACATCCAGAAGGAGGAGGAAATAAAAATAAAATTTTATTGGTGAATTAAACCGTGTAGTAATGGGATGGTTATTAAATACAGTAATGGAGAAGAAATATACATATCTTTTTTTTGGAGATTTCAAGGCGGCGGTAGTGTAACAAAAACAAAGAAATACATTTTTTTCCCCGAAATTTCCATTCTTTCCTGGCAGTGGGTGCGCTAATTGGCCAAAAATAAAATTTTTATTTTTATTCTGAATCAACATTATTGGTGGGCAGTAGGTTCGCTAAACAAGGTATATATAAGTCTTGCCCTAGTCTTCTAGCATACAGTTGGAATTCGGGTTGAATGGTAGTAGAGCTATTTAATTAATTGACATGTAAAATAAGAAAAGCTCAATCTTACAAGAAGATTCTTTTTTATATTATATTCCCAGTTAGGAAACTTCCTACTTGCACATCGTCTTGTACCTTTGAATTTTACTGTATAAACACAGTCAGCAGGGGTGGGTACAAACACACCATTTTGGAAAGCAAAAAAAAAAAAAAAAAAAAAAAAAAAAAAATTAAAAAAATTAATTAAAATTAAAAAAAGAAATTACTGATCGTCCTAAATGCCTCAGAGGTTACTTTCAGGCATCTAGAAAAGAAAAATGGGGGGTTTTCACCAACCCCCAGGGTAGTGTTATCTCGATCGGCCCCACTTTTGGCTCCCCCTTTTGGCCAACTCTGGATCCGCCCGCTGGTCAGGGGTCCCAAGTCTTCCGTATGTCACAAAAGTTTCTCGGAAGTCGGAAATACTTCCCGCAAGCAAGCAAGAATCTCCAGGTGTCAATGGGTTAGATGTTAAGAAAGCTCATTTAAACAGATCTCCCAGATCTGGATTCTTCCAACTAAGGACCCCTGCACAGTTCAAAGTTATTTGTATTCACTGACTCAACTTGCTGTTCATAATACATTTTACACAGTTGGCTATTATGTTCTTGACAAGGTGAAGTGAAGCCTTATCCCCGTATCCTGAGTATAATCCATGTAAATGCTTTAAATTTCACTGTGACTTAATAGATAATTCCTCATTCTTGTAGAGGCATATGTGGCAAAGACAAGCCAAACGAGTCACTCGTCACAAATTGTGTTTCAGAGATAATGGCCAAAATAAGATGGAATGTCAACATTTTCAAAATCTATTTTATTGCACTAAACTAACCCGAAATTGTAAAAATTGAAGGCTGAGTTCTCAAATATTGTTCTTTAAACAGCTGTATGTTTAAACTCCTGTAACTTTATGAAGAAATGTTGAATTTAAATGATTCTTTTAGCATTTTATTTTTGTGGAGTGACTGGTTTGGCTTGTCTGTGCCACATATGTGGGCCAGCAGAATGATTTAATTAATTGACATGTAAATTAAGAAAAGTTCAATCTTACAAGAAGATTCTTTTTTATATTATATTCCCAGTTAGGAAACTTCCTACTTGTGCATTGTCTTGTACCTTTGAATTTTACTGTATAAACACAGTCAGGGGTGGGTACCAGCTCACACCTTTTTGGAAAGCAAAAAAAAAAAAAGAAAGAAAAAGAAATAACTGATCGTCCAAAATGCCTCAGAGGTTACTTTCGGGCATCTAGAAAACAAAAATGGGGAGTTTCCACCAACCCCCAGGGTAGTGTTATCTCGATCGGCCCCACTTTTGGACAACTCTGGATCCGCCCCCAGGTCAGGGGTCCCAAGTCTTCCGTATGTCACAAAAATTTTCTCGGAAGTCGGAAATGCTTCCCGCAAGCAAGCAAGAATCTCCAGGTGTCAATGGGTTAGATGTTAAGAAAGCTCATTTAAACAGATCTCCCAGATCTGGATTCTTCCAACTAAGGACCCCTGCACAGTTCAAAGTTATTTGTATTCACTGACTCAACTTGCTGTTCATAATACATTTTACACAGTTGGCTATTATGATCTTGACAAGGTGAAGTGAAGCCTTATCCCCGTATCCTGAGTATAATCCATGTAAATGCTTTAAATTTCATTGTGACTTAATAGATAATTCCTCATTCTTGTAGAAGATGTGGCAAAGACAAGCCAAATGAGTCACTTGTCACAAATTGTGTTTCAGAGATAATGGCCAAAATAAGATGGAATGTCAACATTTTCAAAATCTATTTTATTGCACTAAACTAACCCGAAATTGTAAAAATTGAAGGCTGAGTTCTCAAATATTGTTCTTTAAACAGTTGTATGTTTAAACTCCTGTAACTTTAAGAAGAAATGTTGAATTTAAATGATTCTTTTAGCATTTTATTTTTGTGGAGTGACTGGTTTGGCTTGTCTGTTTCACATATGTGGGCCTGCAGAATGGCTTTGGGCAAATCAATCAAATCCATTCTTGTAGCTATTCCACTAAATTACGACAGATTAGTTGAAGCATTTTTACTGGTAAATTTGTCCATAAAAACTCAGCAAAGCTCAGCACTGAGATATTTGAGTGGGGTTTAAGTACATGAAGAAAAACATTACATACAGCCAGCCATGATTTAGATTTAACTGTCTTTAGCAAATCTTTCATTTACACTGTTCTATCTTCCAATATTTGTAGAGTAAATATAAAGCACATGTAGGCAAAGTGCGGCCCAAAGACCACATACGGCCCGGCAGTGATCTTGTTGCTGCCTGTGACAATAAATAAAAAACCCTATGTGTGTGGCCTGACATCTTTGGCTAGAAAGTCCCTTCATCTGTAAAAAGTAATATTAGATTTGAGCTAAAGTGGTATAAAGCAGTCCATGAAGGTTATTGAAGCACACTGGAAACATCAAAGTTTAGGAGTGGCCCTCAGTGTTCAAAAATTGACTTTGGCCCTCCGACACATTTTTATGCACAATCCTGATATATACTGCCAAAATAAGTGTGTGCATTACCAAGATATATATAAAAAAAACAGTATGAAGATAATTATGAAGGTAGTGAACTTACCAATTTATATGCTCTTGGTTTTGGTGAGTGTACCACTGGGTTGTGGTATAGTGGTATGGGTGGCGGTGTTTCTCCATCTCTGAAAGGTATTTTCTTTTGAACTGGTGTTTTGGTTGGTAATGGAATTCTTGGTGATGATTCTTTCTTTGGTGGAGGTGATGGTGTTGGGCTTGGTAATGGTGTTGGGCTTGGTGATGGAGGAGGTGGAAGTCGCTCAGCCTCCATCGAAAAATGCTCGAGTTTAGGCAGATCATCAACGTAACTAGCATTAAGTAGTGAACTGGGATGCTGGGAATTTAAACAAATTATAATTGCTATTATAAGTCAATCGTGATGTCATCACTGAAACTCCCAATGTTATTTGCATATATGGCACAGCACAATATGGCTTGATTTTTTTTTAGGTTCGTGTGCAAAAGACCAATCTATCTTGTACATACCGTGCACCACAATGAATTCTAGGCTAGTGTTTTCACACTAGGACTATTGGCATTTGTTTAAATTATTGTTAAAAATAACAACTCTTGCAATACTTTTAAATAATAAATTTACGTACTGATTATTTTTCAAATCATCTAACCAATTTACATGATTGTTTATGCAGTTTTTAAAAGTGCAAGCAAAGTTATTCGCGTTGTTAGTGACCGATGTCACTATAACAACGCGACTTCACTCGTGCTTTTGTAAACTGCATAAACAGTCGCGTCGAGTGGTTAGATGATTTGAAAAAAAATTCTTACATTAAATTTAAATTTAATATTGAAACTATTGCAAGAATCGTTATTCTAAACAATAATTTAAATAAATGCCAAAAGAAACTTGTCTAAGCAGATACGTCACTTAAGCCCTCCAACATGGCGTCTGTGGCCTCACTTTTCTCTGTACAAGGATTGGCTGATGAGGAATCCGGCTATTATAGTAGAGATCAGTGACTGCAGAGGCCAGGGGCCTGTTTACAGGTTAACAGGGCATTTTGAGAGACATGGAATGATTGAGTGAATAAATGAATGATATAAGAGCAATTCAAAAATGTTACCTCTTCTGAAATTAGACGAAGAACAAGGTTGATAGCTGGAATATGGTCGTTCTCAGTATGTAAACTTGTCCCCTATAAAAAGTAAAAAAAATTATAATAAATAGTTTAATAATATTTATCAATTATAACTGTTATAAATCTAGGCAACAAAATGTAACATAAATACTGAAACTAAATTTGAATAAAATGCAAATTTAATATATTTTAAAAAGAGAATGTATATTTACTATTTATTAATTCCAGTATAAAAATGCTCAAAATACAATTCAAGATTGAAGTGAAAAGCTTACAATGGAATCAGTAGAGTAAAAATACAGAAATATAAAACCATTAAGTACATTCCTAACATCTGTGTGAAAACTACCAAATTTACTTACTTTTAAGGACAAGTTCTCAACACGAATACCTTTTCTACCACGCTCTGATTTTAATGCATTGTACACATGTTTGTTAAGAAGCATAGTTGAATATCCAAGACTTTTATCCAGGTACCATTTACTGCTTTCAAATGCTTCAGAAAAAGTAGTAAAAAAGAATGGATGATTTTAATAATAATGATAACAATCATTTTTATTCATTTACTGTATACTTTAAATTAGTTATGACTGATACAAATGTACTTAACATCAATTCAAAGGGTACATTACAAACAAAAAAAGATAACGAATTACAAATGTCTGTAATATTAATATAGGCTCTTACACTCTGTTACAGAAAAAATGTATAGTTTATTATTAGGAGAGGCGATGGTAGCTTGCTGGTAAAGGGCCAAAGATATGCCACACAGCGAAATTAATCACTTAATTGAAAATGGAAATCCTTTACCATGACAAATATAAACAGAAAATGCTCTTCACAGACTAAGTTTCATTGAGGCTTACTTAGTGTGGAGATATAAGTGGCAAAGACAGGCCAAACCAGTCACTCGTCGCAAATCCTGTTTCGGCGATAATGGCCAAAACATGCTGGAATGTCAAAATTTTGGAAATCTATTTTATTGCACTAAACTAACCTTTATATATATATATATATATATCATGCTATGCTGCTATTTTTCCCATTTTCAATGTTGAAACAATTTTTTTTTAATGATATACTGATGGTTTCTGCCTAAGAAATGCCCAAAATCATAAACTTTGAAGGCTGACTTCTCAAATATTGTTCCTTAAACAGCTGTATGTATAAACTCCTCTACATTCATAAGGAAATGTCGTATTTAAATGATTCTTTTACCATTTTATAGCTCTTATTTTACTGTATAACCCTTTATTAATGAATAAAAATCAATTTTGCGGCGAGTGAAAGTTGCTGTCAATAGACAAAACTTCAACCTAGAACAATGGGATTTGAAGGCAAGAATCTTAACCACCAAGGTACAGCTCCACTCGTGTTTAGTTCAAGCGACCTGCGAGTTTCATTTCTCACCTGTAATTGTGCTATAGTATTCAACAATCAGAGCAGACGTGGCAGTAAAGGTTGACGCCATCAGGCGAGGCTCACAGAATAACAACTGCTGCTCCCAACTCGACCCGGTTTGTGCCAGTGGAAGAGAAATCTAAAATTAAGTAACACAATTTAAAAAAAAAATTTTTATGGAGGGGATACACTACATAGTTAATGCTGTACAATAATCTCTCGGAAATCAAGAAATCTCACATATTCCTGATGGTTTATCTCATATTCTATTGTCATTTGTTTGTAATTTTTCAAAAAATAATTAGTTTGGTGTTCATTCACAATATAATGTTGCTGTTTTTGCAAACTGTTCATTAGTAAAGCTATTAAAACGTAATCCTAGCGCCAGTAGCCCATGTTTACAAAATATTCTTAAATTGATAGCAGTCTACAATCATAAATTTATGACACACCAGCATTTGACTAGAACTAGAACTTTGGAAGGGGAGTGTGTCTGACAAAATTATCTTTAAATTGTACTTTTGGACTTGAGAACAATGGCTTGTAGTAAAATCATAAAAAAACTAAAGAAAAAAAAAGCAGCACTGATCAACAAAAGTTGATTCATAATGCAAATACTTCTTATAATAATATTCATATTATATTTCAATCAACTAAACAGTGAATTAGTTGACAAACCACTTGGGTATGAAATCAAACAACCCCAGCAGGCATGAGTGAACGCACTTGCTTGACGCCCAGGACACATGTTTTCTTTTACAATCGGGGATCAACAAAAGTAACAAGTGATCAGGTAACAGATTGACGCAATGACCACCAGTAGGTAGCTTGTGATTTGGTCGACGATGCGACGCTATAACAGAATCACTCATGCGTGACTGTCTAACCGGGCGTCCTACATTCTCTGCATATGTAGATTTGGCCAAATTGCATCCCAGAATCCACAAGATGAGGAGAACTTAACGTTCTCGCATGTGCAGGTTACTTTTAGTGATATTCCGCTCTATGGCCTACCGTCGTCGTGCAATCGAAAGCTTCCTAATACAACATAGATAACAGATTGACGCAATGATCACCATTGAATGTAATGTACAACCTACCTGTGGATTACTATGCTTTAAGTTGGCTGCTGTGAAGTCAAGTTCTCGAACCGGACAGTGCACAGGACGGGGATGAAGCTCATTAATATATTTACGTGTCTCTATTTCCTTCCTGTTGAATATGAATATAATACAAAATATAATACAAGATCTCGTAATCTTCGATAATACTCCGATGAGGGTAGTATAGTAAGATAGAATTCTTTAAATAATTAGAATATTCATTTGTACAAAATTAAAATGTCTTCAAATTGAAAAAAAATTACAATGTCTTCAAATTGAAAAAAAATTAATGTCTTATAATAAAAAAAAAAATAAAAAATTGAATACCAAGACGCGCTTCGAACTCACGAACTTTGGTTCCTTAGAACACAATGTTAACCGACCGCGCCATGCGACATGTCCTATTTGTGGTAATGGCAGTAATGTAAAAAAAGAATCTATTAATAAATTGTTATTTTGTTTTTTTTGTCAAACAAAATATGATAGTTTTGAAAGGGCTTAGATAGCAAATTCTGCCTGAAATAAAGAATTATTTACCTTAAAACATAATAATCTGGAACTATTCTTATAACAGCCATCAAGGGATCAGAAACATTTGATATTTTACGAGCCAAAGAGCAAAGAGTGATTTCAACACCGCTGTATGTTAGAGCATCAAGCAGCTGGAGACGACAAGTTCGGTGTAGGATAGAAGCATACAAATGTGTTTCAAATCCAACGCCCTCCTGAAAGTATCAAATAAAAGTGTTATATTTTCAATCAATTTTTTAATTAATTGATTTACTCTCATATAAAATTTTAAATTATATTTTTATTTTAACAGGCATAAATTTGCTTCTTTCAGAGTAGGCTTACAGTGTTGGCTAGCTTTTTCATTTTTCATTATGTTATGTTGTATATGTGAGCTGATGCAAAGATGCAATAAATGATATGTTAACATAAGTAATGATTTGAACTTACGACCTTTCAATCATATAAGCCCAAAAGTTTGCCGATTTGCTTCCTGATACAAAAACGACTAAACGTATTTGTTATTTATTTGTTCATTTATTCAGATATGAAGTTTTTTTTTTCCTCAGGTCATGCTGCTGTAGCTAGCAGAGAAGCATGCAACACCGCCATGTATAAATGTGACACTCATGATGTGCCCATATATAGTCATGATGTGCCCATATAGTCATGATGTGACTATATATAGTCAGATGTGCCCATATATATTCATGATGTGCCCATATATAGTCATGATGTGACCGTATATAGTCATGATGTGACCATATATAGTCAGATGTGTCCATATATATTCATGATGTGCCTATATATAGTCATGATGTGCCCATATATAGTCACGATGTTTTTTTTTTAACTTGGGGTGGTCTCAAGTAAATGTGACACTCCTTGCTCAAGCACATATCAGAAATTCACAGCAAAGGACTGAAACCCCAAACTTAAAGTTGATAAACTTAATCATACCCATTCCACCCCTCAAAATAACTTCTACATACCTGAATAAGGTCCAGGTGATACTGATGGAATGGCTTCAGGTAAACAACAGGTATTTGATACCTTATTAGAGTGCTTTGACTTGTGAGATCATTCACCAACAAAACAACTTCTAAAGAAAAAAAAAACACCGACATTAAGTTTTAAATAAATTTGGTTTAAATTTTTTTTTTTTTTTTTTATTCAACTTTATTTAGAGAGGGTAACCCTTCCAACTGGGACCTGATATTCGGGGGCCCCTCTATTAAAGGGTACCATAATTACAATCAAACAACATTACAACATGAAATTACATAATATAAATAGTTACATATATGGCAGAAAAATGATTATATTTCTATTAAAATTGATATTTATAATAAAAATGAGTTTAAATATTGTACATAAGATTTTTAATGTCTGTAATTAACTTGATATTTAATATTTTTAAATAATTTTTAATATTTTTTATTAGCTTGGATTTTGTATATGAAATCTTTCATAATTGTCCATAATTATAAATTGATATTTTATATGTACAGTTTTTTCCCCGTAATGATGTTATTGTTTTGTCATGATGTTTTGTTTTTTTCTTTTAAATATCTGCAGTAAAGTATTTTATTGTATATTGGACAATTAAATGTGTGGATAACAGCGCATTCATTGTCAAATTATGTACAAAATGCTAAAAACAGTTATACAGCAGACATAATTCATATTCCATGCTTATATTAAGTAAATGGTACCAAATGAAACAAACACTAAAAAGTATATAAAAAGGATGATCTTAATGCCCTGTCCAGGCTATCAAATCTTATTTGACAAAACTATGTGACATGCCTAAATATGGTCATGATGACATCACATCATGACCATATATAGGCACATCATGACTATATATGGGCACATCATGACTATATAAGA